GTGGGTTCGATCCCCGTTCGAGTCATACAAAATATTTACAAAAATGGTACGAACAGCATCCTAGCTTGACGCTCAGCATTAGGAGGTTAGTGTTAGGACGGGTCGGGATAATGTCATGGGTGGGACATCATGCTACATGTCTGCTGCATGATGCCCTAGTTCTAGACATCACTATAAACTTCCACACTGCAGACATCGTAGTGAAATGACTGAAAAATTGTTAATGCTACGTTATAAATCATAATCTAGTCACGTCATCAAAATGCAACATCGCGCGATTACAATTCACCTTTGGTATATGCTATTATTAATAGAAATAGGTCAAACACGTCTAATTGAAGGTATATTTCGATTGATGTACAATATTATTTATGTCATTTCCATCGTATGTTTGTAACCTTTGACTCTCTTTAATATATGTGAGCGATGAATGATCATCTAACTTTCGATAAAACATCTCTCAAAGCCTCAGTTGTATCTGAAGTTAAAACAAGAAAAATAGCCAGGAGTTCTGAAAGTCCACGTCCTGAGAACGTATCAAGTTCTATATCTAGTACATCAATCCGTTATGATGGGGAGTATTAATGAGTCAGGTTGGTTGTGTATTGTATAAAAACTGCAACGCATATTCACTATCTCAGCATAAAGCACTAGTAATTATCAAAAGGAGGTAAAGACTACCTATTTTATTTGTCCCATTTTGTCCCATTTTGTCCCAGTTTTGTACCTGATAACACTTGTCTACATCTGACACTCATTCATCCAAACAGGTACGTAATTTTAACCAATGCTATCTGTTCCGTTTGCGGCAGATTTATGAGGGTCATGACAGGTAAAATAACTACTCGAAAAGATCGTCACAGCAGATAGTATTCAATGATACCCCTACATTTTCCAACCACAGCGCAAGTAGTCTGTCGGACGTATTGGTAATGCCTTTAACCGCATGGACTCTCTCTCTCTCTCTCTCTCTCTCTCTCTCTCTCTCTCTCTCTCTCTCTCTCTTCTCTCTCTCTCTCTCTCTTCTCTCTCTCTCTCTCTCTCTCTCTCTCTCTTTTCTCTCTCTCTCTCTCTCTCTCTCTCTCTCTCTCTCTCTCTCTCTCTCTCTCTCTCTCTCTCTCTCTCTCTCTCTCTCTCTCTCTCTCTCTCTCTCTCTCTCTCTCTCTCTCTCTCTCTCTCTCTCTCTCTCTCCTCTCTCTCTCCTCTCTCTCTCTCTCTCTCTCTCTCTCTCTCTCTCTCTCTCTCTCTCTCTCTCTCTCTCTCTCTCTCTCTCTCTCTCTCTCTCTCTCTCTCCCCTGAGGTTTTGTCCCCCGAAACAAATTATCTTATACAAAACGGTATTAGGGAACAGATAGTTGTTTCCCCAGCAAACCAAGGACATATACTTGACTAAAAAAAAATCTAACCCATAGTCACAGCGTAAAGAAGGCAAAACAAGTATTAATGAAAACATACTGCTAAAAGAGTGGTTGAAGTGATATATTTTGAAGAACATATGTATTGTTGTTTATATCTGCTTTGTTTTGGCTCCAATACATTTCTCTATGTACCATGCTATCTTGAGTGTCTTAACCACATGCGTATCTAAGTGCTACATGGAAGGGCTGATTTAACCCAATAATCAAAAAAAAAAAAAAAAAAGAGGCCGCCATGGGGCCCTGATTTATTTCGGGGAGGGGGAAAGGGTCGTTATCAAATAGGTAAACTGTCAGATTCTTCAGTTATGATCATCAAATATGTTGACTAAATAATGAAATTTATATATGATCAATCGGAACGCGTACTAACACTATCGAACGGTTTATAAGAAGTGATGCCTTACGGGATGGGGTGAGCGCTAGGTGGAAGGTTTTCCTGGGGCGCCAACTATTCTTGCATCGGTCCGGTTGGTCAGAAGCTTCAAATGATGAAGTATACATACATACTTATTATATGCAGTTAATGCAACATACAAGTGGTAAAAGTTTTTTTTATGATCGTTATACATTCTTCGGACGATTGAATAACATGATTTTAGATTAGGAGCAAATGTTTAATCAACGTGCATATATCACTTCTCCCTGAAGGGTTTTTATTATGGATCTACCATTTTTGCGGAGCTTATTGAACTCTGATATATATCTGTCTGTCGGATCGTTTCTTTAATATTTTCTTTTCAGAAAGAACACTTGCCTTCACCAATATATGACGATTTGTTTTTTACTTATGGTACAGAAGAAACCCATTGATTTCGGAGTCAGAATGTCAAAGTTCACTTTGAATGAAAGAAACAAAGTATGGCTTCCGCCTATAAAAAAACATCTCTGCATCAAGTACTTAGACCAAATTGCGATGATCACTTTCACTTTGGATATGGATGCGAAAAGCTTTTCGATTTGGGGATGAAACTGTCACTGGTCAAGATCACTGTAACATCGATTATACCTAAATAACCTGGACCAAACGTTGTGGAGTGCTTGCACTTGCAGTTCGATTGGTTTTCTCTTTGCAGATCGGTTTCCCATAGTGTCCAAAATTAATATTGAAATATACCCTGACAAAATGCTATTTGGCAAAATCACAATACAAGTTTTTTTTTGCTTTTGACAATCCAATGAGCCAAACATATTTCAACCTACCTAATTTTTCAGGATAAAATATATTTAGAAACCATCTTTTTTTCCTTTTATAAAGGTGTAAGATTAGACTTGAGTTATAGAACATACACGAATACAATTTTCCATAAACTGACTAACAAATATTTCATTTTAGAATTAGTTAAGTAATTTCATATTTAATTTAAAAGATTGCGTTGATAACGCTCCTTAGCTTGCCAGTAAGTCTAAAGGCAGTATGGAAATTCATGCAATAAAAAATGCAATGAATTGAACAAAGTTTTTTGAACCAAACAAACGCAGCTTATGTGACACATTTATGTACTGAAAGGTTTATAATGAAAAATTTAAACCCATATCGAGAGGCAATAATGCTTGAGGTTCTTATGAATAACTGCAGTATTGGATATCTAGATTGGTTTTTACAGATGCATTATGTGTGAATCAAATAGATGCACTACAGGTGCAGTCATTACCCATATTCGTGCCGCTTTGACTTCGAACCATTTCTTGACATTTAGCCGAAAATAGTTTAGATTTATTAGCAAGTCATATAAATGCAACCTAATCATCGAGCTGTCTTCATAGTACTTAGATTAGACATTTGTCCATAAATACACAAAATAAATCCAATATTTAAGACCAGCTTAAGCCGTTTAGCACGAAAAACAGGATGCGCGAGGTCATGGGTTTGAACCCCAGCCGAGTCATACCAAAGACTTCTAAAAAATGGTACTAACAGCTGTCTCGCTTAGCGCTCAGTATTTAGAGGTTAGTGTTAGGACTGGTTGGCCTGGTGTCAGGATAATGTGACTGGGTGGGACATCATGCCACATGTCTGTGGCATGATGCCTCAGCGACATCACTATAAACTGCCACACGGTAGACATCGTAGCGTTATGACTGAAAAATTGTAAAAGCTAAGTTATAATCTAAATCACACACACACACACACACACACACACACACACACACACACACATATATATATATATATATATATATATATATATATATATATATATATACATACATACATACATACATACATACATACATACATACATACATACATACATACATAATACATAATACATACATACATACATACATACATACATACATACATACATACATACATACATACACGAAAACAGTTGAAACGATAGCACCAGTCAATATATGCTAAGACAAGAGGTATATTAGAGATGTCTAATTAAAGAGACGAGTTTATTGTTTCTAATCAATTATGACATTTTGAAGATCACGAACAATGTTTCTGTGTCTTCGGTCTCCTTGAAGCTGGTGATAGAAGATCACTTTGGAAAGAATGGATATGTACATACTAATGTAATGATGAAAGAAAGATAAGTCCATACTGATCGGATGGCTGGCATCATTGATTTAAAATATAAATTGGAAACAATACTTGATACTACATTGAAAACTCTTGGGGGAAGGTAAATGGTGCCCGAGACGATGATGAAGGCCCAAATGGTTTTTGGCGTAGCAAGACCTCTGACGTCCAGGAAGCAGTCTCCACCTTTCCCTTTATTACGCCACTATTCCCGTGTCTATCACAAAATGGTAAATGATTGTCTCACTTTCTTATTCTTGGTTTGATGGTGGAACCTCACTCTAATGTAAACTCCTATGAAAAAGAGACAAATTTACTGTTGCACTAGCCGCACTTACTCGCCAATTCTCGTCTTTAAAATTAATGGCTGCTGTCTAGAACAGAAACATATAACTATCATTATTAAATGAGTCAGGCACTTAATGTTGTTATTTTGGTTTCTTTTTATTGCTTTGTAAGTAGTACCCGACACTTGGTTCCAAATGCAATTAAAGTACTAAACTTTATATTTTCTTGTCAGTCTGGAATAAGTTAAAAAAAACTACTTTGACCTGAACGATAGAGTTACAAAAATGTCGTCGGTATTTCCAACGATTTTTTAACATGCGTTTGTATTTGAAGTTAGCTCTAGTAAATTTCAAAATATTAACGTTCTCTTTCTTCCAATCGTTGTCTGTATAACTGTTTAGATAATAAATCTAACTGTATGGTTAGGTCGGGTATTGATTTACGAAATTCGGACGCAGATCAAATAGTCGTTGGTTTCATACTCGTTCATTCTTGACCGAACCTGCTGCCTTAGAAATTTGCTTTGGAAGAACACCCTAGCTGCCATTACGCGACATATCATAGACACTATTGTGTTTAAATAACCAATTAAACAAACAAGCACCTTCCACAAATGTTTTTGCCTATTTTGCTATTTTTTTGGACAAAATAAATTGTATTCATAACGAGTAATTTTATTTGATAATTAGAGGTGCCATCATACTGACGATGTATGCTGCCAAATATTTAACTTAGGAATACATAGTTTTCTAGACCGCCCTGGTGGCCTAGTGGTTAGAGCAACCGCCTCGGATGTGAGAGGTCGTGGGTTCGATCCCCTGTCGAATTATACCAAAGACTTACAAAACTGGTACTAATAGCTACCTCGCTTGACGCTCAGCATTCAGAGGTTAGTGTTAGGAATAGCCGGCCTGGTGTCAGGATAATATGACTGGGTGGGACATCATGCTACATGTCTGCGGCATGATGCCCCAGTGTTAGCCATCACCATAAACTGCCGCACTGCAGACATCGTAGTGATATGACTGAGAAATTGTTAAAGTTATGTTAAAATTCATAATTAAATCACATCACATCACACATGTTTCTATACAAGGTAGTAAAATTATCAACAATTCAACTATCTTTCTTAAAGATATTCTATTTACATATTTTGCTTGTCATCATGTCTTTAAACAAATATGCATCGCATTAAAAATACTTCACTTTGTAATCTTGACAGGATCGAAAATCACCCACAAGCACTGCTTACTCGTGCATATCGAAATTCATCAACAATCACTATTTACTCGTGCATATCAGAGATCATTCACAACCACTATTTACTCGTGCAAATTGAATATCATCCACAAGAACTATTTTCTCGTGTATATCGAAAATTACCCAGAAGCACTATTTTCTCATGCTTATCGAAAATCACCCACAACCACTATTTACTCGTGCATATCAGAAATCATCCACAAGCACTATTTACTCATGCATATCAGAAACCATCCACAAGCACTATTTACTCGTGCATATCAGAAATCATCCACAACCACTATTTACTCGTGCATATCAGAAATCATCCACAACCACTATTTACTCGTGCATATCAGAAATCATCCACAAGCACTATTTACTCGTGCACATCGAACATCAATCCACAAGCAATATTTTTTTCCCGTGCATATCGAAAATCATGCAGAAGCACTATTTACTCGTGCTTATTGAAGATCATCTACAACCACTATTTACTCGTGCTTATCGGAGATCATCTACAGCCACTTTTTATTAGTGCTTATCGAAAATTATCAACAAGCCCTATTTACTCGTGCTTATCGAAGATCATCTACAACCACTATTTACTCGTGCATATCAGAAATCATTCACAACCACCATTTACTCGTGCTTTTTGAAGATCATTTACAACCACTATTTACTCGCGCTTATCGAAAGTCATCCACAAACACTATTTACTCGTGTATATCTCCCAACAGCAGTCATAAAATTGGACCTATATTATAAATATGATTGTTAGTTGGAATTTTGTTTTATCAAGTTTTAGCTGGACATTGTACCGATGTGTACTAGTAGTAAGTTCGAGTCACTGTGTGTAAATAAGGTTTATATTTTCAACGCATTTAAGTCTGGCAAAAAGTTTAGTAACACGAAGGAAAATATGCAAAATGTATCATGTGATTCGAAGATTTCTCTGGATCTTGAGATAACATTCCCCTCCTGTAATGTTTAAAAATGACCAGTAATTGGTAACATTATTATTCATTATGTAGGTATTCAAGTCGATGCAAGGAACAAATCAAGCCAATAAAAAATGGGCTAAGAACAAAACGCACAAAGAATGAAGTAAAAACACCTTGTTTCAATTTTGTTGCATTGAAATATAGAGTTGACATGTTCTACGAAAATAATAAAATTTATATGAAACTCAAGGAAATATATGCAGTAGATATATTGGCAAGTATGTTACCTGTTTTACTTTTAGTGACTTCTTTACAGCACTTACTTTTCTGAAAGGTATTGCCCTTTTGTTGCGTGGATATGACTAATTTATACATTAAATAGCGGTGTGAATGCCAATATTTTATTTGAAATTAATTCGATTCATATAATTTTGATTTATTTCAAATAACAGTTTCAACTGCTCAGGAGATTATGGAACTAAATAGGATTATAGTCTTAAGGGAATATAGCTCTGACGTCCTTGAAGAGTAATCATTTTATGCACATATTGTTTTGTAAAGGTTTGGCGGGACAATCAAATAAACATTACAAAAACCAAAATCTATTTCTTACAACTGATTGATTTAATATTTGATTTCGTCTGTTTTACGAGTCTATGACGTATCACCAAACTGCAGGCTATATATGGTGAAGGCCAATAGAGACACGAACCTTGCCCAAGGACAGACCACTGATGACGTATATAAGAACCCACAGCTTTAATGACCTCAAGTTTATTGTAGTTTATCCAGTCAAAAGCTTAAAAATATAGTTACTCAGTGCTTCATCCCCACCGTCATTATGTAGGTAGATCAAATAAAACTTTAATTACATAGCGAGTCATGTGTAAATTCTAGTAGATGCTGGTTTTCAAATATGACATTGAACTTATTGGACATCGGTGCGTGAAGAAATGTGTGCTTAGTCGCTACTGTATATGGGATGGTGCGTGAAGGGAAGGCTATGGGTGCCATTTACTCGCTGACCTGGGTTCGAAACTCCGTAGGGTACGAAATTAATTTCTCTAACCTGTATGATAGTATTGTTTGTATTGAACTATATATATATATATATATATATATATATATATATATATATATATATATATATATATATATATATATATATATATTCGATACATATTTAAGTATTTATCTTCTATGCAAACGTTCGATATTTTGCTAAACAGGAAAGGTCATAAAATAGCTAATGTTGTATTAGTAATGATAATGTAATTACATTCGGATGGATTAAAATTTGTTCCGTACAAATTGTGCGAATTCCGTTATTTTTTCTTTCATTATTACATTATATAACTCAAATAAATTATACGTTATATAACTCAAACGAATTAAGTCACGTGCATTCTGCATTGTAAGTTCACATCTTTAGGCTTTTGTGGCTAAAATTGCTTTTTCAGTTGAATGCTCAATACAACTGTGCTAGTTTCTGAACCCCTCAACCTTTACTGCAGATTGCATTCATGTCCCTGTAATACCTTATAAAGCATCAAAAGCCGACCAGGTGAGTCGTATTAATCCTGTATACCAGACGTACCAAGATTAATATCTTCGTGGTGTAGATTAAACCTGTATGGCTTATTCAGTTCGCATTTAATCAAATTTTTCTATGCCGTGGGCAATTGGAAAAGTGCGGTCGGTCTGATCAGTATTCAGGCTGGTATGCTGACCTCTTTAAGATTGATTCCTTAAATTATGAAAATTGATATTTAAGGCACTGTCAAAGAGCCATATTCAGGATGCGTGTCACGAATGGATAAACTTGACATGAAACATGTCTAATTGCTTTTAATGGTATATATTGGCAATATATTATAGTCTATTTTCGCGCAAAAATGGCATTCATTTAAGACAGAAAACCAGACGCTCAGACATTTTTTATACATGGTTTTTAAAAACTGTTATCGAAGGATATATTCTTTATAGGTTAGTAATCAATTTGTTATTACGGCCGATTGAATGCATTCGAACGGATATAAATGCCCAGACAGTGCAGTGTTATGTTGTCTCATGTCATTTGTCTGGTCAATAAAATTAATAATTTTTCAGTCCTTTTCTTCCTTGCATATATATATATATATATATATATATATATATATATATATATATATATATATATATATATATATATATATATATATATATATATATATATATATATATATATATATATACCAGACAGAACAGACTGTGCCATCCCTGGATTCTGTAGTAGAATCTTTATAATAGTGGGAAGAAATTATAGTTTAATACAGTGATGCGTGCTTGGTCGTGACTGTTTATGGGTTGGTGCGTGCAGGCAAGTTGATGGGTGAAATTTACTCCCGGACCTGGGTTCGAAACTCCGTAGAGTACAAATTTAATTTCTCTAACCTATATGATAGTATTGTTTGTATTAAACTATAAATTCTGCCCACTATTTTCAAGTATCTACTATAGAATTCAGGGATGGCACAGTCTGTTCTGTCTGGTATATATTTTATAATTCTTTGTAATACAAAAATCCTATATACCTTGATTTATTTCATAGGAATCTGGAACGACTGTGTATATAAATGAGAATTATTTACTAGGTCGTCATGCGAGTGTGTCTGCTACGCACGAGCTCATATAACACCGATTCAGTGCCATCATTTTTTAGGTTTGCGTGCTTAGTCGTGACGGTATATGGGTTGGTGCGTGCAGGAAAGGCGTTGGGTGTCATTTACTCGCTGACCTGGGTTCGAAACTCCGTAGAGTACGAATTTAATTTCTCAAACCTGTATAATAGTAATATTTGTATTAAACTATATATATATATATATATATATATATATATATATATATATATATATATATATATACACACATAATGGGGAAGCCTTCAATATATTTGTATCTTCAACTACTCACTTTTACCTTCAGTTTCTTCTTTTTCCACTGAGAGCGTGGAAGATTTTATTTTTCTTAATTACCGTATTCTTTAATTTTTTCAAAATATTTACGGTCAGTTGAAAACTAATGGTCTGAAATGAAGCAGAATATTAAGTTCTCAAGCAGGATGAAATATTTTTCTATATTCCTCATATTATACATGCCGTAAGTTTCTGCTGTGGTTGAATGTCAGCAACGCCTTTCCAAGAACGGCCAATGCAGTTTAATTGCAAAGGAGGTAGGGCTCTTTTAGCATTGCATCAAGCAATACTGTTTCTGTACCATGCAAGAATTTATGGATTACTGGTGTGCTGAATATCAATCCTGTGGTATTCTATCAAACAACGCTTTTGTCAGACATACAAAATAACGGAATTTTTTGTTATTCTTACGCGTAGTACTTAGAGAAAATATGACAAGTATGACAATTGTTCGGGGATAACTATATATGGCTTTAGGTTATGCTGTAATCAAGACAACATAGACATATTTCTACTTGAGGATAACGCTGATTCAGCAAATTACACTGAACAATTTTTATTTTTTATTTTTTTTTTAAATGAAGAACACCAAATGCTACCACATAACTATAACGATGAGTTTGTTTCAATGCTGATAGGATGTTTCATTAAAACATTGTTTAAACAAATGTAGATCCAGCAGTTTAAGATTAAGTAT